TTACCAGGCATTTGGTATTTTGTTTGTTTGGTTGGTTTTGTTTTTGAGACGGAGTTTCGCTCTTGTTACCCAGGCTGGAGTGCAATGGCGCGATCTCAGCTCACCGCAACCTCCGCCTCCTGGGTTCAGGCAATTCTCCTGCCTCAGCCTCCAGAGTAGCTGGGATTACAGGCACGCGCCACCATGCCCAGCTAATTTTTTGTATTTTTAGTAGAGACGGGGTTTCACTATGTTGACCGGGATGGTCTCGATCTCTTGACCTCGTGATCCACCCGCCTGGGCCTTCCAAAGTGCTGGGATTACAGGCACGCGCCACCACGCCCAGCTGATTTTTTGTATTTTTAGTAGAGACGGGGTTTCACCATGTTGGTCAGGATGGTCTCGATCTTTTCACCTCGTGATCCACCCGCCTCGGCTTCCCAAAGTGCTGGGATTACACGCTTGAGCCACCGCGCCCGGCCTGCATTTGACATCATCAATAAGCAGGTCCAGGCCCGGCGCGGTGACCTCACGCCTGTAATCCCAGCACTTTGGGAGGCCGAAGCCGGCGGATCATCTGAGGTCAGGAGTTTGAAAGCAGCCTGGCCAACGTGGGGAAACCTTGTCTCTATTAAATATACAAAAATTAGCCGGGCATGGTGGTGGACGCCTGGAGTACGAACTACTCAGGAGGCTGAGGCAGGAGAATCGCTGGAACCCGGGAGGCTGCAGTGAGCCGAGATCGAGCCACTGCACTCCAGCCTGGCAGAGACTCCGTCACACACACACACACACACACACACACAATTAGCCGGGCGTGGTGGCTCGCGCCTGTAATCCCAGCACTTTGGGAGGCCCAGGCGGGTGGATCACGAGGTCAAGAGATCGAGACCATCCTGGTCAACATGGTGAAACCCCGTCTCTACTAAAAATGCAAAAATTAGCTGGGCGTGGTGGCGTGTGCCTGTAATCCCAGCTACTCGGGAGGAGGCAGGAGAATCGCTTGAACCCGGGAGGTGGAGGTTGCAGTGAGCAGAGATCGCGCTACTGCGCTTCCAGCCCGGGTGATGGAGTGAGACTGTCTCCAAAAAAAGAAAGCAGGTCGCAGTGGTGACAAGTAAAGCCGAGGTAGACTGCAGGGCGGGGCGGGTTGGAAGGCTGCAGGTGCAGCTGCTCTAGGGAACAGGGACCGCGGCCAGGGGCACAGCGCGCGCAGGGCCTCACTCGGGACCCCGGCCCCTGGCGCGCTGCTCCCCGGCGCCGGCAGAGGGCGCTCCGCGTTCGGAGATGCGCTCGCCGCCCCCCACCTCCTGCCGGGCCCTCGCCCCCACGCGCCGGTGACGCAGGAGCGCGTGCGCGGGCGGCTCCGAGCTTCGCTGCCGTCAGCCAGCGGCCTGCGCAGCCTCGCTCGTGGCCATGACGTCACCGCCCCGCCCCCGCGCTCACGCAGGTCCGCAGCACCCGGCTGGGTCCCCAGTCCCCCCCTCCTACGGCTCGGGGAAAACGCGGAGTCGGGGATGGCGGGGGCCGGGGGCCCGGGCTCCCTGGTTAGGGCCTTGAGCCTGGCGCAGTGGGCTGGACCCCAGGGGTGCAGGGAACAGGGGCGGGGCTGGGGCTGTGACTTTACAGGCCTGGAGCCAGAGAGACCCAGTACCTCCTGCTGTGGGGAATCTGACACCATCCGTGGCTCCCCACACCCAGAGGCTGCACCCTCGCCCCCTTGCCGGGTTCAGGCCAGTGCCGGTGCCCCTGTCCCCTGGAATCCGGGCACCCGAAGGAGGCCCTGCTGGTCCGACTCTGGATGAAGGCTTGGGTGTCTGGCTGCTCCCCGAGCCAGCGCCGTGAGGGTCACTTGGGGTCTGGGCTTCGGGGTGCAGAGGGAAGCCCTGCTCACTTTTCTAGGCCTGACCTGCAAACACCACAACCTCTCCTGGCCCTCGGGACCCCATATCCAGCTGCTGCTGCTGCAGGAAACTGGGAGGCCTAATAGACTCATTCTGACTCGTGGGACCATTTCGCTCCAATTCCCCACTTCCAGGGTAGCCCACAGCTGAGGGCACCACCGTTATTACTCCAGCCCCAAACCTGGGGTTCCCCTGGAATTCTGGCCTGTCCACTCAGCATGGCCCCTGCACCCACCGTCTCTGGCCTAGCTGGCCCCAGCCACCCCCCCACCCCCGCCCGCCGTTTAGTCCGGGTACCTTTTCTTCACACAGCCACAGGGAGTCTTTATTAAAAATCTCAAACCTGGTGGGGTGTGGGTGCTCAGGCCTGTTGTCCCAAAAATGGGAGGCTGAGGCAGGAGGACCTCCTGAGCCCCGGAGTTTGAGATGAGCCGCGACAACATAGCAAGACTGCATCTCTGCAAAAAACACAAAAGTGAGCTGGGCGTGTTGGCCCACGCCTGTAGTCCCAACTATTTTCCCGGCTGCGGCGGGAAAATCGCTTGAATCCCCTGCTTCCTGCACAGGCGGTGACCTGCAAACTTCTGCCTCGAGACCTTTGCCCATGCAGTTCCCATGTGCATGAAGGTCAGTTTCTGGGGTGCCCCTCTGCCTGGAGGGCCCCCACAGTACACAGGGAGGGCGCAGGGCGCCGGGCCTCGGAGAGACCCAGCAGAGGAGGGGGGCGGGGCGGGGGCCAAGAGCAGGAACCCCGAAACTGACTCTGCGGAAGGAGTTGAAGGAAACCGGGGTGAATCTCTGGCTGAATGGACAAGGAGGCCTGGGTACCGGGTACCTGGAAGGGCAGAGGCGTGGAGGCTGAGCCTGGCCTGCCGCGTCCGGGAGCGGTGTCAGCCTTTCTGGGAATGAGAAAGAGGAGGCGCTGCGGGGTGTTAGGCGAGGGCCCAGCGGGGCTGGGGTGGCGCTCAGGGTAGGCTGCTGGCAGGTGTACGGCCTGAGTATCTGAAGGGTGAGGCTCGATGGTCTGAGGGAGAAGCTGGGGCACCTTTGGGACTTGGGTTTCTGCTGGTGTCGCTCTGATATCACCCCAGAGAACCAGGCCTCTGCGGGTGCACGTTTGGGCCCGATGGGCTCTGTTCAGCTTGGAGCAGGTCTGTGATCGCTGTCACACAGGGGAGGGGGCACGAGGGGCACGGCGAGCCCTCCACGTTGCCGAGGGGAGAAGCAGGCGGGGGCACCTGTGCCCAGGGACCACACAGGGGAGGGGGCACGAGGGGCATGGCGAGCCCTCCACCTTGCCGAGGGGAGAAGCAGGCGGGGGCACCTGTGTCCAGGGACCACACAGGGGAGGGGGCACGAGGGGCATGGCGAGCCCTCCACCTTGCCGAGGGGAGAAGCAGGCGGGGGCACCTGTGCCCAGGGACCACACAGGGGAGGGGGCACGAGGGCCATGGCGAGCCCTCCACGTTGCCGAGGGGAGAAGCAGGCGGGGGCACCTGTGCCCAGGGACCCTGGGCTGTAGGCGTAACGGAGCAGTCGTGGTCGAGGGGCCGTGGCTGTGCCGCCCCAGAACCCCCACGGACCCAGCGACGCGAGCGGGGAGTCAGTGCATCCCGGGACTCCACCCCCTCCCGCGCACGCGGCGCACCTCGGGCTTTAGGGAGTCGTGCATTCCAGGACACCCCAAGCTGCGTCCCCGGGACCATCCCCGACCTCAGGACCGGGTGAGGTGAGTCGTGCGGAGCGGCCGGGGGCGGGACTCGGCCGCCGCGGCGGGTGCGGGGGGCGGCTCTGCGCGCGGAGTGGGCGCGCAAGAGCGCAGGCTCCGCCCCCCGCCCCCGCCGGAAGGGAAGGGGAGGCGGGGGCCGGCGCGGAGCCAGCCAGACCCAGCGGCGAGCGCAGCGGGGGCGGCCGGCCGGGGACCGGGCAGCACCGGGCGCGCGGAGCGGGCGCGCCGCCAACGCGGTCACGTGCGCGGCCCCTCCTCTCGCGCCGGCCTCCCCCGCGCCGAGCTCTCCATTCATAAATCCTCCGTCTGCTCCGCGGCCACCGGGCGCCAGAGCCAGCCGGGAGCGCCGCGCAGCCGCCCGCCTGCCCGCCGCCCATGGGCCGCGCGTCCCGGCGCTGAGGTAGGCGCGGCGGGCTCGGGGCTGCGGGGGACGGACAGGGGCTGGGCCGGGGATCGCGGCCGGCTTGGGGCTCGCCCGGGGTCTGGACCACCGGCTGCGCGGCTGGAGGGAGGGCGCGGAGGAGCCCAGCGGGCGTGGGGACCAGGCTGCCGGCCTTTCGGCCGCCACCCTGCCATCTGGAGACCGACCCCCGCCCGGGCCCCGCCCCGGCCTCAGTTTCCCCCCGCGAGTCGGGGCAGGGCGATGGCGTCTCGACCTGGCGGCTGAGCCCTGGCGTCGGGTCCCTGCCTCCGTCGTTCGCTGTCCCCGCCCCTCGGCCGGCTCGGGGGCGCGGTGCTGCCCAGTGGGGAACCTCCGCCCTCGGCTCCCGCAGCCGCCTCCGCCAGGAGCCCCGCCGTTCCCCTCGGCCCCCCGCCGTCTTCGCTGGCCTCGGGTCCCCGTCCTGCGCCTGTGCCCCACCCCCTCCAGCCTGAACTCATTTCCCGACCTACATACGCTGCCCCTTCCCCCAGTACCAAGGCTCCGGCAGCCTGTGACCCGGAGCGCTGAGGACAGTGGCGCCCGCTGGGAGCCTGCCCGGCTTTGGGCCTCAGTTTCCCCTCTGTCGCGCGTGGGCGGAAGCCCGGGAGGGGCTGGGGCGACCGCCGCCTGTGCTCTCCGGCTCCGGGAAAGGCCTCGTGCGTGCGGTGCCGACCTGGGGCCGCCAGATGTCCCCGCGCCAGCCCCGGCCCCCTGCGATTCTCGGACCTTCCCGCCCGGCTGCGCGGCGCAATGTCCAGGCGGCTCCTTTTCCTGGTGCCGCGCCCCGCCTCAGTTTCCCCTGAGCGTAAGGCTGACTGGAGGCGGCCGGAGAGGCCCGGGGATGCTGGGCACTGCGGGGTGGCGGCCGCGGCCATCTTGCGGCTCCGCGCCCGCCCCCCACCAGGCCGCCGCCCCCGCGCCCCCTCCCCGCTGCTCCTTGGCAACCCGCCCCCCCCCCAGCCGCGGCCTGCTCCGCGGTCGCCATGGGAACCAGCTTCTCCGGAGCTGGGAACAGATGCGCCTCCTTTGTCCCTTGCAGTCCCACCAGTGCTCAGCACCGGGGGACCTCCACCTCCAGGAGTCGTGACCTGTGCCCAGCCGCTGTGCCCTCCCCCTGCGCGGGACGGCGGTGGGGGGGGGGCTCCCACTACGAACCATGGCCGAGTGGGCCAAGCCGGGGTGGAGCTGCACTTCTTGGGGCTGGGGTGGCCGCCTGCCCCCGTGAATGGGGCTGACAGGGCGCCTGGGGTCCCTCCCGAGCCCGATGCATGGCCTGCGTGTCTCCATTCGGAGAAGTGTTTGCCCTTCTCGGTGCGGAGCTCCGGGGCCTGGCGCTGCCTTGCCGGACCGGCCACACCGGCTGTGTGCCCGGGGCCGCCTCCCCTGCCGGGGGGATGGGACATGGAGGTCCAGACAGAGCCCCCCGGACTCGCCGGGCGGAGCCAAGGCGGGTGGAGGCGGCCTCTCCATGAGTCACTGCCCCCGGTGTGGGCTCCTGCTCCCGAGACCCGGCTGGTTTGCAGTGGCTCCTGCAGGAGAAGTAGGCCTAGCTGGAGCTGACCGGGCCTCGTCCCCACAGGGCCGTCCTTCCCAGCTCAGAATGCAGCCCACAGCCACCATGGCCACAGCCGCTGCCACCACCACCTCTGCCACGGTAGCCCTGACAACGTCGTGGGACAACAGCACTGGACGCCCCACGGTGGGTGCAGGGGATGGCTGGGCAGGAGGGTGGGACGGCGTTCCGGCAGCGGCACCTGACCCCACTGCACGCTCACAGGCAGAGGCAGACCCTGTCCTGGACAACTACGTGCTTCTGGTGGTGGTGATGTCGCTGTTTGTGGGGGGCACGCTGGTGGTGCTGTCCGGCGTCCTGCTTCTCTGCAAGCGCTGCTGGGACGTCCACCAGCGCCTCAACAGGTGCGAGGCCCCCACCTTGGCTGGGCTGGTGCATGGTGGGTGTGGGTGCCAGCCTGGTGGGGAGGGGGCCTACCTCATTGGCTTCTGAGCCGCAGGGTGGTCCGTGCCTCTGGAGACAGGGGATCACGCACAGGGCCTTGGCATGGGGCGGAGAGCTCAGACCCACTGCGGCTGTCTGGTCCCTTGGTGCCACTGGGCTCTCCTGATGTCCCTCCCAGGGCCATGGAGGAAGCAGAGAAGACCACCACCACCTACCTGGACAATGGCACCCACCCGGCCCAAGGTGAGGCACTGGCCAGCCCGGCTTTGCACCCATTTGTCCATCCGCCCCTTGGCCACCCGCCGCCCCCTCGGGCTGCCTGACCGTCTGTGTCTGTCTGTCTCCCCCACCAGACTGGGCGCAGCTCGATTCCGACTCATCTCTGTTTCCTTAACGCCCAGGCGTAGGTGGGCCCAGGCGCGTGCTGAGCGAGTGAGTGTGTGAGCGGATGAACGAGTGCCCCTCGTCCCGCCCCCCAGCCGCCGCGCGCGGCCCCAGCCCTCCCCACCCCACCCTGCCGAGCATCCCTCCCGGGACCAGGCGCCTGGCACGGCCCACCTGGGGCCCACCCTCTCTTGCCTCTCCACGCAGACCCCTACTTCCGGGGGGAAGACCCCGAGGGCCAGGATGCGGAGACCGAGCGCTTCCTGTCCACCAGCTCCACGGGCCGCCGGGTCTCCTTCAATGAGGCAGCACTGTTCGAGCAGAGCCGCAAGGCACAGGACAAGGGCCGCCGGTGAGTGGGGCAGGAGCCCAGAGGGTGTCTGAGGTCGCCGGTGCTTGGGAATGGGGAGGAGCTGGGCACAGACGCTTCAGGGACCAAGGCAGAGGCCCCTGGACAGGGACTGTGGGGTTGGGGGCTCAGCCAGGTGCTCCCACTTTGCCCGCCCCTGCCCAGGCTGGCAGGGTGGACAGCAGAGCTCGGCAGGTGGCGCATGAGGCGTGGGAGGTAGGCAGGTACTGATGACCAGGTGCTATTGCAGGTATACGCTGACGGAAGGGGACTTCCACCACCTGAAGAATGCCCGACTCACCCACCTGCATCTGCCGCCCCTGAAGATCGTCACCATCCATGAGTGTGACTCTGGAGAGGCCAGCTCAGCCGCCACGCCCCACCCAGCCACCTCTCCCAAAGCCACCCTGGCCATTTTCCAGGTGAGCCTATGGCGGCAGCCAGCAAAGTTCCTGGGGTGGGAGGCAGCCCCAGGGACTCCCAGACCCCCAAACCCTTCCCCACTCTTTCTGGGGGGCCCTCATCCTGGGATGGTCGGGGGTACCCAGTGGGGTGGAGCAGGGAAGGGGGTGGAGCCCAGCATGCCCCTCACCCACCATGCTCTTTGATCTGTCACTGCTTCCTCCCCCACCTGGCTCTGTCCCACAGCCCCCGGGGAAGGCCCTCACAGGCCGCTCCGTGGGCCCCAGCTCCGCCCTGCCAGGTGACCCCTACAACCCAGCTGCAGGCGCCACTGACTTCGCAGAGATCAGCCCCTTGGCATCTAGCGACTCTGGGGAAGGCACCTCGGTGAGGGCCCCTGCGTGTCCCTCACGGTGTCCACAGCCTGGGAGGCTGCTTCCCCTCCCTTGCCCTGATCACCTCCCACCCACCAGGGCCCTCCTTGGCCGGCTGGGTAACCACACAGAGGAGAAAAAGCGGGCCACACGCTGGACACAGGCGTGTGCTCACACACACAGGGGGCACCCCAGGCTCCCACCGCATTTCAGACTCCACAGGCACTGGAGATGGTACACCACCTCGCCCTCCCTCACCTGCAGCCCAGGCCATGGGCGAGAGGGCTCCTAGGCATACACCTCCCCCTCTCTGCAAACCACATGTCCAGGGACCTTCCCCAGAGGGGAAGAGCCCTAGTGTAGCCCACCCAGCCGCTAAGACCCCCTCCTCCCGCCTCTGCCCCTCTCCGAGCAGGTCCCCATCTCCATCCCAGTGATGGGGGGGCCTTTGGGACTGTCTCCCAGGCCTAGGACCGTTTGGGGCCGGCACGCGGGGCCAGGGAGAGGTCTTCTAGCCTGAGTGCCATCTCTGTTTCCTGTCAGTTGGATGCGGATACCAGGAGCACCAAGGCTGGAGGGCCTGGGGCTGCAGCAGGGCCTGGGGAGGCAGGCCCAGGCTCTGGGGCGGGCACCGTGCTGCAGTTCTTCACCCGCCTGCGCCGACATGCCAGCCTAGACGGTGCCAGCCCCTACTTCAAGGTCAAGAAGTGGAAGCTGGAGCCCAGCCATCGGGCGGCCAGTCTGGACACAAGAGGTAAGCGGCAACCCCCTGGTGGGGAGCGGCCCTGTCAGGCTTGGCAGTGGCTGCCCTGGACAGCCGGGAGCAGGTTGTGGCCCAGGGCTGCCTTATCTGGAGTCTGGGTGGGGAGCCTGGCCCTGTCCAGTCTGCCAGCCGACATCCTGCTTGAGGCTCTTTGGGTGGCAGGAGGGCTGTGTGTGCAGGTGGCCTGAGCCAGACGCCCCGCTCCCCAGCTCTGCCCTGGGCTGGTGGGATTTGCGTGCCCCCTCTGCTCTGGGGTCATTGGGGCATCCAGGACAAGGTGGTAAAGTAGGGTTCTATGGGGCCACCTGCTCACTGTGGAGCCCAGAGCGTGGGGCCTACAGCTGGCATCCTCTCCCGGCCATACTGGGCTGTCATCCTGATGCCTGGGGATGCAAGTGGAAGGCGGGTTCTCCCGCGGTCCCGTCACCTGCTGGCCACAGCATCACTCCAACGGCTGTGTGACCTTGGCCAAGGCCCTCGGCCCGTCTGGGCTCTGGCATTCTCTGACACGAAGCAACAGAGTTGGACTGGGCCAGGCCTCAGAGGGTGGCACTCACACCGCTGTGGTCAGACAGGCCGTCTCCACGGCTCAGTGCTGCTGTGGTGGCGAGGAGGCAGCCAGGGACTCTGTGTGAGGAATGCACATGGGTCGCAAAAGCAAGTGGTGGGCAGATTCATCCTCTGAGCTGTGTGGCATGGACCCCTGGACTAGTAACAGCAGCCCTTCGGTTCTGGGTCACATGGGGTTCTGGAGACAGCGCTGCCTTATCTGGAGTGAAGTCAGGAGTGTGCGTGGGGAGCAGAGGGGCGATGTCGGTGGCGCTAGCAGCAGGCACCATCCCTGCTCAGCAGGTTTAGCAGGGCTAGGGCAGCCTGGAGGGGCTGGGTCCTTGCTCTGCCCTGTGGAGGGGGTGGCACTTCCTGTCATCACGTGAGATTGGGACGGGGGACAAGTGCAGTCCTCAGATAGTGGGAGACCCCATATTGGAGCCTGGCTGCAGCCAGCAGGATGGGGTGAGCTCCCCCAGCCCCCGGGTAGCTAGTGGCCAGGGAAGGGACAGCCACCTCTGGCTGACAGTTCCCGCTGAGAATGCAGATCCTGAGATGAATGAGCCATGATGGCGATTAGGGTCGTGTCTGCAGCAGAGCCCAGAACCTGTTTGCTGAGTAACTGCCTCCCTGCCCTTGGGGCCTGCCCACTCCAGCTTCGCTGGGGAGGCTGTGGGGAGAAGGGGGCCGAGGTGGGGCAGTCCCCCTGCACTCCGCAGGCCTGGGTTGAGGTGCCAGGAAAGGGCACCTCTTTCCCTCTCCTCATTGGCCCTCACCACCCTGTATGTGACTCTCTCCTGCCTCCTGTACCTTGAGTGCCAGTCACCAGGTGTCTAGGATGCATCCTTATGAGTAGTCACAGGTCCACCAGGGCTGCCTGGGGGCACTACCACTGCCCGAGGCCCTTCCACTCACTTCCTGGCCCCGCCCTTGCCCCAGGCTCTCTGGTTCTAGCCCCTCTGCCCTCGTTTCCGTTTCACCTGTACTCCGGAGTGTACCTGCAGTCACTGTGCACACCCACCTGGCCTGGGGAGATGCCAGCCAGGATCTGGCCCCAGTCAGGGCCCACTTCTCTGTGCGTGTGTGATAGACGACAGGTGTGTGTAGGGGGCACAGGTGGGCTGTTGGGGGCGGGGGCCACACGCAGGCTGACAGCACATCCCCCCCGCACAGGTTCCCCCAAACGGCATCACTTCCAGCGGCAGCGGGCAGCCAGTGACAGCATGGAGCAGGAGGAGGCGGGCGCCCCCCACGCGGACCTCATCCAGTACATCGCCCGGGCTGGTGACACTGTGGCCTTCCCGCCCCCCCGCCCCTTTCTGGCCAGCCCCACCAGCCCGCCCCCTGCTCTCGGCAGGTATTTTTCAGTAGATAGAGGTGCTAGGGGTGGACCTGTGGGCCCTTGCCCCGATTTGCCCCTCCCAGGCGGCCCAGGGAGCGCTCTCCAGACCCCGTGGACCTGGCCTCACCCGCCTCCAGCGGCAAGGCCCCTCCCAGAGGCCGACTCACTGGGGCCACCTCTCCAGCATGGACCAGAGGAGGGAAGCGGGGAAGAGACTGGGTAAGGGTAGGGGGGTACGTGGGGCCCCGCCGCCGATGGCCGCAGGGTACCTGCCTGGGCTGGTCCTGCCACTTCCTGGTGGAGCCCCAGGCCTGAAGGGCTCTGCTGTGGTCCCGGGCCCTCTCCCACCCCTCAGGCTCCCCAGTCCCTTTCCAGAGCTGCTATGACCACTGTGGCCAGCAGCCCCCGTCCCCCGACCCAAGGTAATTTTCCTGAAGCGCAGGGCCCAGTCGGTGGGATCGGAGTGGGGCAAGGGGCGGGGGCAGAGCAGGGTTCCTGGGGCAGCCCTGGTCTGGGGGCGACCCTCACGTCTGTGCGTCCTGCTCCTGCTAGTTACTGAGGATGGGCGGGCGGGGCGCGCTAGCCAGCCTGGAACGGGGGCTGAGTTCCGGGGTCCACCGGGAGGCTGGCAAAGGCTGACTCCAGGGAGGAGCGCGTGGACCCGGCCTGGGGGTTCCAGGGAGGGGCCCCGCCGTCTGCAGCGCAGCATGGAAGCGCCCGAGCTCAGCGTCAGTGCGAGGCCGGCCCCCCGCAGAACGCACCGGCCCATTTTAAAGCTCGCACCTTCCAGGGTCTGCCCGAGTCGGGTCCCGCCCGCGCCCACCCTCCCCGATCCCGAGGCGGGGTGGCGGCCACGGAGGGGGCGCGGGGCTCGGCGGGGCTCTGACGGCGCGGCCTGGCTTGCAGGCTAGAGGCGGCCGAGGCGGCGGTTGGAGCGAGCCCCGAGTCCCCCCCGGAGCGCGGCGCGGGCGGCGCGGGGCCTGAGCAGCCGCCGCCACCGGAGCTGGACGCCGAGCGCGACGCCGGCCCCGAGCAAGCCCAGACCAGCTACCGCGACCTGTGGAGCCTGCGCGCCTCGCTCGAGCTGCACGCGGCCGCCTCGGACCACAGCAGCAGCGGCAACGACCGCGACTCGGTGCGCAGCGGCGACAGCTCGGGCTCGGGCTCCGGGGGCGCGGCGCCCGCCTTCCCGCCGCCCTCCCCGCCCGCGCCCCGACCCAAGGACGGCGAGGCGCGCCGGCTGCTGCAGATGGACAGCGGCTACGCCAGCATCGAGGGCCGCGGCGCCGGCGACGACACCGAGCCGCCCGCCGCGCCCGCCCTGCCCCGCAGCCCCCGCGCCTGGCCTCGCCGTCCGCGCCGCGACTACAGCATCGACGAGAAGACGGACGCGCTGTTCCACGAGTTCCTGCGCCACGACCCGCACTTCGACGACACGCCGGCCGCCGCGCGCCACCGCGCACGCGCGCACCCGCACGCCCGGAAGCAGTGGCAGCGCGGCCGGCAGCACAGCGACCCCGGCGCACGCGCGGCCCCGCCCCCCGCCCCGCCCGCCAGCGCGGCCCGCCCCGCGCGTGCGCCCCTGCGCCGCGGCGACAGCGTGGACGGCCCGCCCGACGGCCGCACCCTGGGCGGTGCCGGCGACGACCCCGCCATTCCCGTCATCGAGGAGGAGCCGGGGGGCGGGGGCTGCCCTGGGTCGGGCCTGTGCGTCGCGCCCCCCGGGGCGCTGCTGGACAAGCTGGCGGCCGGCCTTGACGAGAGACTCTTTCCGCCGCGCCTCGCCGAGCCCGCCGTGGCGCCTCCCGCCTTGGTCGCCGCCGCCCCCACGTCCCCCGACCACAGCCCGGCCTAAGTCCCGCGAACTGGGCCCATCTCTCTGGCAGCTTCTCCGGCGCCGCGTGGGGCCTCGGCGACGGGAGAGATGTGGGGGCGCGACGCCCAGAAGCGCATGCGCTGGGACCGCGGGCTCTTCGCACACGCGCGGGGCGACGGAGTCTTGCGCGCAGCTCCAGGGCGCACGCGCAGGGCCCCGGCCGGTCTCGCGCCGTCGAAGTGCGCACGCGCACTGTTCTCTCTGGCGCTTGCCGGGCGGCGCGAGGCGCGGGGCGCGGAGACCCCGGCTGGGCGCGAAGGAAGGGGCGTGAGCGGCTCTCGGCTTCGGGCTCCCGAGGACCCCGTCCATCTACCCTCAGTCCCGGACGGGGCGGCCACTCCAGGGACGCGCAGCCCACCGGGCCCGATGGAGCCGCCGCGTGCGGGGCGCGTGTACGAGCTGGCCCGGGCTGGGGGCGATGGCCGGGGGCGCCTGCGCCGTGACCGTTTACCTCACCGCGGCGTGTGCTGGCGGCAGCCCGCGCCCCCTCCGAGCAATAACCGCGCCGCCGCCGGCCCTCGCGCGCCCCAGTCCCTGCCGCCCTCCGCATGCGAACGGTGTCCGCCCCCCCCGTGTAGAGACGCGAACAGACCCACGCGGCCAGGCCACGCCCCCAGCTTTATTTATTGCCAAATGTGGGCGGCGGCTCCTCGTGCCCCGCCGTGTCCGCACCGCCCACGATGGCGCTGCCCGTGTTTTTTTTCCGTTGACGATAAACGCTGACTGCGTGATCCCGCGTGCTCCGTTTTCTCTGGGATCCCGGAGCGCGGTGGCCTTGGGGGAGGCCGAAGTGGGGCGACCCGATTGCGCCGTGACGGCCCCGCCACCCAGCAGCCCCCAAACACCCCTCACAGCCACAGCTCAAATCCACCTTTTATTTTTTCTTAAAAAAAAAAAAAAGAAAAATGGAACCAACCAAACAACAAAGCCGAGGCCTCCCTCCGCGGCTCCCGGGCGGCGCTGCATGCATGGCGGGCGGGCTGGAGCCCGCAGTCTCCGCTTAAAGTGCATCGGGGCCGCCTCCCGCCTCCCTCTCCCTCTCCCGCCCGCCCGGGGCCACCGAGTCAACCAGCTGCGGGCCCTGCCGGCTGACACCGCTGCGCCCGGTCCCTGCGGGGGCTCCTGAAGTCCTGGGGCGCGGTCAGCAGAGGCACCAGGGCCGCCTCTCCGGGAGGGCGGGACCGGCAGGAAGACGGAGAAGGGCCCGGCGCGGGCCCCTGGACATGGACTGCAGGGAGGAAGGGCAGAGGTCAGCCTGGGCACGGGTTCTCCGCTTCACGTGGGCCCCTCGCAGGATGGACAGGCAGGTGCAGTCATGGTGGCTACCAGACTCCTGGGGGGACAGGCTTCAGCCTAAGGTCCCCATCCGTCCCCCATCCTCAGCAGGCGACAGGGAGAGGGGCAGGCACACAGGGAGAGGGAAGGCAGCATCTGGCTGGGCAGCCTGGCAGGATCATGGAAGCCGCAGCCCCTCCCCACCAGCTGCCACCCACTCATGCATCAAAAGCCTCCAGGCTGAACCCAGTGTAACCCTTTCCTGGGAGCAGCCTGGGCATGGGTAGGAGCCACCCGGCCCAGGACAGGGTCCTCTGAATGCACCCACTTCAGAGGTGGCTGTGAGGATGGCATGACCCCCTTGGAGCCCAGCCACACATATACCTCCGTGACTAACACGCAGGCCAGAGACCAGGCCCCAAGATGCCACTCTCAATGGGGACTGCTATGTGGACAAGCCACCCAGAGGCCACACGGCACCCAGGTGCAGCCTGGAGCGTGACAGTCACTATGACAGCGTCCCCACAGGACCACCCGGGCCCCACCATGCCCACCTGCAGGCGGCCACCCTCACTGCTGCTTGCAGGCTGACAGCCGGCGGATCCTGCTGCTGGCCGAGCAGGCCTTGCGGGCAGGGTTGGGGGCCCTGCCCTCCGCCTTGGATTTGGTGCTCAGCTGCGCCGTCTCCGTGCCGTTCATGCACACGGCTTTGGGCAGGCCCCGGCTCTGTCCGTTCTGACTGGCCTCCTCTTCTGGGACCTGTCCTGTGAGGGAGATGGCAAGTGTGGCCTAAGCCAGGAGCCTGGCTGGTCCCAGCACAGGCCATGCCCAACCCTGGTCAGGCCCAGGTGTCCCCAGCATGTCCTGGCCCATGCTGCCCCAGCAGCTCTGGGGGGCCCCCCACACCTGGGACGAAACCTCTCACAGATGACCCAGGCAGGAGTGGCCCCCCCCACCCCCCCTGCTGCACCTGCCATGGCCTCGGGTCAGACCCCACCCAGGTACTATCTGCAGGGACCTCGTGAGAAGGAGGCAAGCTGAGGGAGCAGGACCCTCCTATGCCCCCGTGGCCCATGAACATGGCTCTAGAGGCACAGGAGCTGCCACAAGCTCACCTGTGAGACACAAGAGGGCCAGGCTCGGGCCGGCATTCGAGACGCCAGCACAGCCACTCGAGGAGCAGAGCTCAGCCTGCCGGGGCCCCAGCCATCACCAGCACTCTGGTGGAACCCATGGGCCTGGTGCTGGCCACCCTGGCCAGGTGGACACTGTCCTCACAACGGGAGTGGGGCAAGTGCAGGAGCAGCCCATGTGCCATGCCCGCCAGGAGCCATGGTGGTCGGCAAGGACTCCAGCAACACACTGGCTGCCAAGCCAGCCCCAGACCCTCCTGGGCAGTCTGTGGAAGGCATGAGCCCAGCGCAGAGCCCAGCTCCCAGAAGGGGCCAGCGGCTTGCAGAACTTGCCGCACGCTCGCCCTGTGTGCACAGGAAGTTGATGGCTTTCAAAAGGCACCTTGGTGAGGAGGCCCAGCTGCACCTCCAAGTCTGGGCTTTCGCCCACTCGCATGGGCATGCCGTGGTAGACAAGGCGCCCCAGCCCTGCATCAGTGGGCACAGCCGCCACCAGGCACTGGGGCCATCAGTCCCTCATTCCACCCTATACCCGTCTGCACTGGGGCCCAAGACCTAGCCCAAAGGCCCCTCGCTTGGGCTCCGGTTGTTGGCAGCAGGACGTCCATAGTAAGGACTGACGAGGCAGCAGCCCAGGCTCAGTGCGCAGGATGGCCTGCCCCAATGCGAGGAGCCCTGCAGGTTGGAAATGTGGCTCCCGCTGAAGTCTCAGGCTGAGCCTGTCCCAAGCATCTCAGCAGTGGGAGGGGTATCCACCTGAGTACCCAGTACTGAGTACTGAGGCCTCAGCTATGCTGAGCGGTCCCTGCAGCCCCTGCTGCTGGGTACTCCTTCCTACCACCCATGGTGGGCTCAGCAGGGTCACAAAAAAGGTGGCCCAGCCCCTGCCTTCCTCCCTGGCACCTTGCCCCAGGGCAGCCCAGATCTCCCACAGGCCTAAGTCTCCCCGGGGAGGTGGGGGGGAGCTAGTGCTGGGTCCTGGCCTGCAGGAGCGGCCACAGGGTCAGCATGTGGCCCACGTCCCAGTGGGGTTCTGGCAGCCGGGTCCTGCCCGGCATCACCTGACTGCCAGTCTCAGGGCCCCAGTGCTCTGAAAGGTCAAATTGCACCCAGGCCCATGGATGGGCATCATGAGGGGACCCCACCTCCCAGGACATCAGGTGACCAGGGTGCCCAGCAGCACCTCCCATCCCAACAGACACAGCAACCATGGTACTGGAGCTACAAGAGCCCAGGAGGCAAAATCCTGTGCCGCCGGGGCCCCTACACGCTGTGCCCTCCCAGGCCCCCCTGCACACTTCGCCCTCCCAGGAGTAGCTCCTGAGCTGAGCCTAGGGGTTTGCTGAGGGGCCCCGGGATGCTGTAGGACCTAATGGGCTCTCTGCAGGGTAAGGATCTCTACGTGGGAAGGCAGACACCGGGGCTCACTGAAGGAGGTGAGTGAGCTCCTGTGCACTGGGTCCTCACATCCTAACCTTCCTGGCACACTCGCCTTCTCAGGCCGGACCCTGCCCACCACTTCCTGCTGCAATAGTAAAAGATAAAGCCCCCCACACTCCAGCCCAGGCACAGCAACATCCACCTGCAGATACATGCAAAGCGCTTTATGATCCAGCCCAGCCCTGCACAGCACAGAGCTGAGCCGGGAGCCTGGCAGGGAGGGGCCGGCTGCCAGTGCAGCCGCCCGTGCTAAGGCCCTGAGCTCCTCCTCGGGCACGACTGCAGCGCCGGCCTCGAGGTATCCTCTCCTGAAAGGTCTGAGCCCTCGCTCTTCTGCAAGCCGCACTCCGCTCTAAGCCCTGCCTCAGGCGCCTCCTCGCCACCTGGGGAAGAAGGGTGGCCAGCGTCAGGCCCAGCGGGAGGGAGGGCCACTGGACCCTCTCTTGTGCCAGCTGAGGGGCCACCCTGCACCCTGACTCTGACCCACCCTCCCCCGACCACAGGCCTCCCCCGCCTGCTCCTGCTGGAACTCAGGCCGAGGCCGATGGGCGGTGCCTGGCTGGGCAGCACCAGGGGAGGAGCCTGAGGAACCCTCCCGGCCAGATAGGCCTTGGCCGGTGCCCCTGCCACCCCCACACTTTCAGCCATGTCACAGCAGCCCCAGGGCGGAGGCGGCCTGCAGGTGGGCTGGAGGCTTTGGGGACATGGATTGGCCACCAGAGGGCAGAAGCTGCCCTCACCACAGACAGGCAGGCGCCCTGCTCCAGCGGGACTCACCGGGCACCGTGAGGTCCTGAGTGTAGATGATGTCGTCCTCGATATCGAAGAGGTCCTCGTCCTCGTCGGCACCGTGCAGGTCTTCCAGGTAGGGCACCACAGTCATGCTGCGCCACCGGTCCTTGGTGTCCGGGCTTGGCGGGATGGGCACCGGTGCTTCAGCTGGTGGGTGTTTCTTCCGGAACCAGCTGCAAATGCCCAGAAGCAGTGGCACCTATCAGGCCGGCACAGGGCAGTCCAGCTGCCCAACCCCGCTCCTCGGAGCTGGGACCAGGCAATGCAAGGGGTGGCCGTGACCACAGCAGCTCAGCTATGCCCTCCTGGAGCAGCCAGGCTGCCAGGGCCCTACAGCTCTGACCTCACTCCAAACCTGACACGTCTCCTCCACCCCAAGGCCTGACCCCCATGCCCCGTTTCAGCCTCAGATCTGTCTCCCAGGTGGCATTCAGAAGCCAGGGCACCCCCCAGATGCAGGTCAGCAAAGGCCAGAAGGGAGGCCACGTGCACATCCAGCCCAGGAGGCTATCGGAGGGCAGCCCCAGCCCCCACCAGGCTCCCAGCTGCCCCAAGCTGCCCAAAGATGCCCCAGGCACAATCAGCACCAGCGCCTCAGGGGTCCAAACACTCCCACTCAGGCCTTGTTGGACAGCTGAGGAGCTCTGAGGGCTTTAGCAGAAGGTTCAAGGACCCCCTGCCCAGGGGCTGGCCCAGGAGGTGAGGGAGGTGGCACTGCAGGGCCTGCTGACCCCACCCACTGCCTTGTCTTCCCTGTGGTGGAGCTGGGGGCCCTGGGCTGGATCCCAGTGAGGAAGGAAAAGGAAGACCCTCCAAGTGCCCGGGCCAGCCGTGCCTTTCCTGGCCCAATGCCAGGCCTGGAGCAGGGATGGACACATGACCTCACTCAGACCCCAGCACAGACAAAGCCTGTCTGGCCAGCAAGGGGGCGCTGCCCAGAGACCCCCCTCAGGCCCCGAGAATTGTGAGCACTGTACGTGATCCTGCCCTAGACCCAGACCGGCACTCCCACCACATCCCCCACCACGCCCCCTGCTCCGGTCCCCACTCAAGCAGCTGCCCCCATGGCCGGCTTCCCTGTGGCCTGGCCCCACTCACCTGTGCTGCCGGATCTGCCGTATGGAGAACCTCTTGGCCGGCTCATACTCAAGCATCCCTGAGGAGAGGCAGGTGAGGAGCCGGGCAGCGCCAGGCACAGGACTGAGACCCCACCAACCTTCCCCACCTGCCCAGCCTCTGCTGTCAAGCCCTGGGTGACGCCTGGATGCTCCCAAGGGCGGCCTCCCTGACAGAGGCCACTCCAGGGGACATCACTGCATGGTGGATGGGCGACCAGTGCCACCTGCTGCCACTCGCAGATGTGCAGCAGCGTGAGCCTGGCAGACCCTGCAGGCCAGGGAGCTCAGAGGCCCGGGCGGCGGGGGAAGAGCAGGGCAGCGCTACCTTCAAGGGTGGGAGTACAAAGGGGGAACACAAGGCCCAGAAGAAAGGGTGGAGTTGAGTAATGGCGGCGGCGGGGAGGGCCGGGGAGGACCTTTGGGGAGGCCGCCCTCTCCAGTCAGTCCTCTCAATGCCCTGCTAGGGTCCCTAGGGCCAGCAGCCACCCACCTGACACCCCCAGCCTGCATTTCTGCACAAAACCCCCTCCTCCCTGTGGAGGGGCTGTGGGCACAGGGATGAGGCTCCCACCTTTCAGCAGGTCGGAGAGCGGGGGGCCACAGTCGCCTGGGATCGCGTAGCTCCCCTTCCCAATGTTCTCGAACAGCTTATAGATGTTGTCCCCCTCGAAGGGGTACAGGCCCGTGGTGATGTTGTAGCTTCATTTCAAGGAGAAGGAAGGGGGCGTGGTCAGCCACGGTGGTCGATGCCCTGGGAGTCCCAGCTCTGCAGCCCTCGTGTGGCCGCTGGAGCGCAGGCCGTGCGAGCTCAGGGACACCTCTGTCGTCACCCCCTCCCACTAGCAGAGGCCGCGGGGCAGGAGGGGGGTGTCCTCTGGACCCACCTGGGGTAGGGGCTTGGAGCCAATCTCACCCACCTGGCTTCCCTGTGGGGCTCTGGGAGTGAGGGTGGGCTGTGCCACTGTGAAGACACCCGACATGCCAGGCCGCACCTCCCACGGTGAAATACCATGTGCTCTGGGAGTCACACCTCAGGTAAGCACCCCCCAGCGGCTGTGGCCAGCAAGGGACTGGGCTGATGGCCATGCCCTGTGCCTACCCAAGACACAGAGGCCCCTCCAAGCTGTGTGTATGGTGAGTGCTGGGACAGCCGGGGCACTTACAGGGTGACCCCAGCTGACCAGATGTCCACCTTGAAGCCTGAGAAGGTGTCCAGGCCGTTGGCAATCTCGGGGGGCTGGAACGCTGGGGAGCCCTGGCTTGTCCGGCAGGTGTCATCTGCCGCAAACGGGTGCAGTGCCTGTGGAGATGCCGCGCAGCCCTCAGAGAGTGCCGGGACGGGGTGCCCCAGGGCCCCCCAGCGCGTGCCTACCTCAGCTACGCCCAGGTCGGAGATCTTGAGGGTGCCGCCGGTGGTCAGCAGTAGGTTCCCCGGCTTGATGTCTTTGTGCACGATGCCCTGGCTGTGCAGGTACTCCAGGCCGTCGATCAGCTGGCAGAAGTACCTGCGGGCAGCACAGCACACACCTGTCTCAGGGCCGAGGCCACCCCGCCCATCACAGGCTCTCCTCTGCAGCCACCTGGGAGCCTCCCAAACACCACAGGCACAGCTGGGGAGTCACAGGGTCCAGGCACACCGGACAGCGGAAAGGTTGGGTCCAGCAGGGAGCCTCGCCCGCACTGGCAGTGACCACCCTTGTCAGGCTGAGCCACATCAGGCAGGGCCCCGGGTGTCCAGAGGTCTCACTTCCCCGTGGGCCACAAGCTGGCTACAGCTGTCTTGGAACAGTAGGCCCCTCCCCTAAGGCCCTTCAGCAGCAAGGGGCCCTGACTCTGGCCACCAGACCTCTACCCAGGAAGTCCGGTCAGGGCAAGGGGATGCTGGGGACTGACTGGGGGCAGGCCGCTGGCCTCGGGCAACAGGAGGCAGGAGGCCGGCAGCAGCGTTGCCTGTGGATGCCACAAACGGTGGGTCCCTAAAACTGGTTTTTGTTTGTTTGTTTTCATGAAAACTGTTTTCAAAAATCTCGGGCCGCCAGGCATGGTGGCTCATGCCTGTAATCCCAGCACTTTGGGAGGCCAAGGCAGATGGATCACAAGGTCAGCAGTTCAAGACCAGCCTGGCCAAGATGATGAAACCCATCTCTACTGAAAATACAAAAATTCCAGCTACTCAGGAGGCTGAGGCAGGAGAATTGCTTGAACTCGGGAGGCGGAGGTTGCAGTGAGCCGAGATCGCGCCATTGCACTCCAGCCTGGGCGACAGAGGGAGACTCTGTCTGGAGAAAAACAAACACACAAACAAACAAACAAACAAACTGAGGCCCTCGGGTCAATGAAGGTCAGGACAGGCCCCGTGGGCACCGGGAAAGGAGCGGCCCCGCCCGCACGCACCCGTGGGCCTGGCACAGCGGGAAGCGCCTCTCGGGCACGCTGTCCAGCATCTCCTGCATGCCGCAAACACAATACTCCATCACCATATACGTGCGGGGGTGCTAAGGACACAGCTCAGGAGCGGCCCCGCCCACAGGGCTCTGAAGGGACCCGCGCACCCACCCTGCCACTCCCACCCTGCCACTCCCCGGGGCCACACCTCTACAAAGGCCCAGGGCCCTGGAGTCCCAGGAGGAAGCCGGAGAAGGTGTGAAGGACAGGGCTCTCCGGCAGCGTTCCTGCGGGGCTCCCTTTCCCCACCCTGCCCACAAGCAGGGGCAAGGCCTCCCAGACGCCGCCACGAGCAGGCTCGGGGCCACGTAAGACAGGCCCAGGCTCTTGGCCTTGCAGCTCAGGGAACACAGCCCCAGCCTCAGGACCACTTCTAGCTCTTGCTCTGGGCACAGGGCCCCGGGAAGGACAGTCCCCGTAGGGAGGCTGTGCCCACAGGACCCACTGGGGGCATCTACAGATGACACGAGGACATGCCTGGCCATGAGGAAAATGGCCCACAACACTAGCCTGTGTCTCAGGCCCCGGCCGCACCCTCATTAGCCAGGGAGGAGATGTGAGAAAAACGGGTCCTGACACCCCCCATGACACAGGGCTGGGGCTTGGGGCCCCTTTCAGCAAGCGGTTAGCTGTTGCCACAATGGCTGACCTCTGGGGAACCAGGGAAAGCCACTGCCCTCGTGTGCCAGTATCCTTCAGGGAGATGAGACGGGGTACAGACCTTAGGGCAGCCCGACCCAGGGCCCCCCAGCCCCTCCCACGGAGGCCCCGCAGCTCAGCGCTGGGAAGGATATATTTTCTGCTTCTCTTCGTTGTATAACACATCCACCAGCTGGATGACGTTTTTGTGCCGTAACCTCCTCAGCAACTGAATTTCCCTGGGACAGAGAGGAAAAAGGTGTCAGCTGATCCCCCGATGTCAGTGACATGACCCAAATCCCCGGGGTCGGCCTCCCCATCTCCCCACGGAGGTGGCACATCTGGCTCCCTTCCCTGGAGAGAAGCTATGGGTTCAGACTGCTGGGGCACGGCCCTGCAGGGGCCACACTTCCAGGCTCGGGGCGGCAGGGGAAGGGAAGGCGGCGCCCTGGCTGGTGAGGGCTCTGGAGGACTGGGTGAGAACACTCTTAATTCAGCTGTTACGCAGTCACAGTTGTGCTTTCTAGACACAAGACTACTGCCACAGTAGCACAGATGGAGCCCAGACGATGGGAGGAAACAGGGCCTTGGGGCCCTGGTGACGCCTCTGTTGCCCAGTATGGTCCCATGCTTCCAAGGGCTCCCCACTCCTCTGAGGGTCCCAGGCCTTGGAGAGTGGGCTGCAGGTGAGCTGAAAAGATGGCCCACAGGAAGGGGCACCCGGAGAAGGAGAAGCCAGCCGCTGAAGCCATTGCGGGGTCTGCCATGACCACCCGCCTGTCACAAGGGTTGGTGTCCGGTGCCCAGGGCCCAGCAGGCCAGAAGGCACTGCCTCCTCTGCAGCTGCTGCCCTGTTGCGGACATCTCATTTCTCCAGAGTGACCCTGCCAGGCACGATGGCTCCCGCCTGTCATCCCAGCACTTCAGGAGGCTAAGGCGGGGGGATCGTTTGAGGTCAGGACTTCGAGACCAGCCTGTAATGTGGCAAACGCTGTCTCTACTAAAAACACAAAAGTTAGGCAGCTCATGGTGACTCAGGCCTGTAATCTCAGCACTTTGGGAGGCCGAGGGCAGCAGGTCACCTGGGGTCAAGAGATCGAGACCATCCTGGACAACATGGTGAAACCCTGTCTCTACCGTAAATACAACGATTAGCTGGGTGTGGCGCATGCCTACAGTCCCAGCTACTTGGCAGGCTGAGGCAGCAGAATCGCTTGAACCTGACTGATTTTGTTTGGTTTGTTTTGAGATGGAGTCTCGCTCTATTGCCAGGCTGGAGTGCAGTGTCGCGATCTTGGCTCACTGCAACTTCTGCCTCCTGGGTTCAAGCAATTCTTCTGCCTCAGCCTCCCCAGTAGCTGGGACTGCAGGCATGCGCCACCACGCCCGGCTAAGTTTTGTGTTTTTAGTAGAAACGGGGTTTCAGCACGTTGGCCACAATAGTCTTGATCTCTTGGCCTCGTGATCCGCCCGCCTCAGCCTCCCAAAGTGCCCAGCCACCTCGCCCAGTCGACAGGATCCCAATCCAGGAAGTGGATTCAGAGTGGCTGCGGCTGGTGGAGGGGACGGAGACTGACACTACAGGAACGGGGCTTGTTTTTAGGGTGACGGAATGTTTTGGAATTAAGTGGTGGCTGCAGAACCGTGTGAATGTACGAAATGCCAATGAACTGCACACTGCGACTGAGTTGTACAGTATGAAACTGTATCTCCAGTCTATACATCCTTAACAGGAAGCGCAAGCACGGAGCATGGAAAATAGAGGGGGGGGGGCGGACACGGCTCGCGCCTGTAATCCCAGCACTTTGGGAGACTGAGGTGGCAGGATCACCTGGGGTCGGGAGTTCGAGACCAGCCTACCCAATATGGTGAAACCTCCTCTCTACTAAAACTATAGAAGTTAGGCGGGCATGGCGGTGCACACTTGCCGTCCTGGCTACTGAGGAGGCCAAGGCACAAGAATCACTTGAACTCTGGAGGTGGAAGGTGCAGTGAGCCGAGATCCCACCACTGCACTCCAGCCTGGGCAACAGAGTGAGACTCCATCTCCAAAAATATACCTGGGGGTGACAGGGGTGTCCCATCATGCAGCCTGCCCCGCCCCTGCCCAGGGCTCCATGAAACAGGGTGGCAGAGGTATCCCATCACTCATCCTGCCTGGCCCCTGCCCAGGGCTCCATGAAACGGGGTGACAGGGGTGTCCCACCACTCATCCTGCCTGGCCCCTGCCCAGGGCTCCATGAAACGGGGTGGCAGAGGTATCCCATCACTCATCCTGCCTGGCCCCTGCCCAGGGCTCCATGAAACGGGGTGGCAGAGGTGTCCCATCACTCATCCTGCCTGGCCCCTGCCCAGGGCTCCATGAAACGGGGTGGCAGAGGTGTCCCATCACTCATCCTGCCCCGCCCCTGCCCAGGGCTCCATGAAACGGGGTGGCAGAGGTATCCCACCACTCATCCTGCCCCGCCCCTGCCCAGGGCTCCATGAAACGGGGTGGCAGAGGTGTCCCACCACTCATCCTGCCCCGCCCCTGCCCAGGGCCGCCTGTTGCTGGAAGCCTCAGCTCACGACTCCCAGTGCATTAAGAATCCCAAGGCTCTGACACTGCTCCCTGCCCTCAGTGCAATCTCAGACGGCCAAGACCAGGGCTCTGTCAGGGCTGCAGGCTGCACTGGGGCTGGGCCGGGACAAGGGGCCACCAGATCGGACAGCAGCTGGGAGAGCAGGATGGAGGGAAAGGAAGCTGGGTGAAAGGACAGGGGCACAGAGAGGCACCACTGAGTGCCTGCCTCCAGCCCCTGGCTGTGCCCAGCACCCTGCCCTGCGGAGCGTCCCCACTCCCCACTGGTTGCAGCGGGCCTGGTCTTCTCGCTGGGAAGCCCTGCATTTCCGTTCTCCCCGGGCTATGTGGCGGTGGCACCAATTCCCAGCAAGGTCCGGCAAGGCTATTTATAGAGTTGGCCAGGGCCTGTGTCCACAGGCTGGCAGGCACCCAGGGCACTGAGGGGGACGCTGACGGCCAGGCTGGGCTCAGCAAAGGCTCCGGGGCCCAGTGCCCTCCTGCCTGCCAGGCTGCTCAGGAGAGCTCGGGGTGGGCCCAAGAGGCCCGGTTGAGCCCCAGTTCCCCTTGTCCCCTGGAATCTGTGTGGCCCTAACCGCCCCCCCCGCTGATGAGGGCCACAGCCCAATCCTGCGAGCCAAGACTTGCCTTCTGTTCAGAGGAGACCGAGTGGTGGTGGGTGGGGAGGGTGCTGTTTTCAGATCGGGACCAGCCTGAGCCCCGACCAGGCCAGTCCAGGGCCCTCCCCAGTGTCGGGATGAGCCGCTTCATGTTAGGGGGCCACTGCCTAAGGGACACCAGAGCCGACGGAGGCTGCCACTGGCCAGCAGAGGCCGGATGCTCGGACACCAGGCCCCGAGAGCCTGATGCTCAGCCATGAGGCAAAGGTGCCCCTCCCTTGGCAGAAGCCGGCTACAGGCAGCGACGGTGGCCCAGGACACCCTCTTCCAGCCTCCTCAGTGTGGCCAGGGGAGCCACGGGACCCTCGGGGCCAGCACCGCTCTCGTCCACCTCCTGTTGCCCAGGCAGGGACCACCCCACACCCACCCAGGCTCCAGTGCAGTCCTAACCCCGAGGAGGGGCAGTCAGGCCTCAGAGTCTTACTTAGGGGCTGCATGGCCCTAAATGCACATGAGGATTGGAGACTCGGTCCTGGAAACCTCCCTGCACTGACGAGGGTGGGGACTCAGTCCTGGAAACCTGTGCCGGCCACCACCTGCTGACACCACGTCTCCCCCACGAGCCCTCATTCTACAGGTGGGGAAACAGGAACAGGAGGAACCTGCCCGCACTGAGGGTGCCAGCCCCTTCCACTGCCCTGCCCCTGCCTCCCCTCCACAGGGACACTGCACAGCAACCGAAACAAGGAGCAGCCCGGCGTTCCTCAGCAGGTGGGCACAGACACGGGACACTGGGTTGTCTGTTTAACTAAAAGGGACCAAGACATTCTGCGCAGGCACACGAGTCCCCTGATTTACGCCAGGGGAGAAGCAGGGGTGGAGCACCCTCTGCCTGCTGGCAGTCACCTCTGGGATGCTGGGGCACATCAGCCTCTCTAGATCGCCAGGCTTCCTCTGCTGTCTCCAGCCAGATAAAGAACAGAACATGAACAAGAGCCACAGGGAACCCTAAGAGCTCGGCGAGAGGGAAGCCCGGCTGTTAGGGCATTGCCAGTTGCTCCCAGGTACCACATGAGGAACCCGCTGGCCTTGCCCAGGCAGTGTGGACTGTTTTGCTGACTTGATTAGCCAGACAGGAAACAGGAAGCAGAGTCATAAACGCCACTCAAGCTCACAGAGGGATGGGGGTAGGAGCCCCCATCAGCCTAGAAACAGATCATACGGGGAAGAGACGGCTCAGCCTCCTGAGGCTCAGAGCAGGACTGGGAGGCACATGGATTCCCAGGAACTCCCACCTCCAGACCACGTGCCCTAGTCCCTGTGGACGTGGCTTAAACAAGGCCCTCAGGAGGCATTCGATGCGGATGCCAACTGGGTGCACGGGCACCAAAGCACCCACGATTCACAGGCAGAGGTGGGGGCAGCCCGAGTGTCCACCCGCAGATGAGCGGTCCAACACGGCGCGGCCCTCCACGCGCTGGAACGTGACAGAGACGTGCACAGCAGCAGGGCTCGGACCCAGGCCACAGCGCGGATGCACCTTGAGGACGGCACCCTCCGTGAGACATGCCGGACACAAAATGCCACACGGTGTGTGACTCCATTTCCGTGAAACGTGTCCAGGTCAGACCCATCCTGGGTGTCAGGACTGGGGAGGGAATGGGGAGTGACGGCTCACGGAGAAGGGGTTCCCCACTGAGGTAATGGGAATGTTCTGAAAGCTGACAGAGGTGACAGTTGCACACTACATGCCACTGAATCGCACCCTTTAAAACCGTCAACTTGGCCAGGTGCAGTAGCTCACGCCTGTAATGCCAGCAGATCACAAAGCCTGGCCAACACGGTGAAACCCCATCTCTACTAAAAGTAGAAAAACTAGCCGGGCATGTTGGCGGGGCGTGGTGGGGGGGGCCTGTAATCCCAGCTACTCAGGAGGCTGAGACAGGACAACCCCTTGAACCAGGGAGGCAGAGGGTGCAGTGAACCAAGATTGCGCCATTGCACTCCAGCCTGGGGACAGCAAAACACTGTCTCAAACAAACAAAAAAAATCATAATGA